AATAAAATAAAATAAAATAAAAAAATAAAATAAAATAATAAAATAAAATAAATAAAATAAATAAATAAATAAAATAAAATAATAAAATAAAATAAAAAATAAAATAAAATAAAATAAAAAAATAAAATAAAATAAATAAAATAAAATAAAATAAAATAAAATAAAATAAAATCCCTTTATTTTTTTAATCCTCACTAGAGGGTATTTTTTCCAATGTTTTTCAGAGAAAGTGGAAAAGGGAGAGAAAGAGAGAGGGAGAAGGAAAGGGAGAAAGAGAAACACTGATGTGAGAGAGACATCAATTGGTTGCCTTCGGCATGTGCTCCGACCTAGGCTGGGGATCCGAGCCTGCAATCAAGGTACGTGCCCTTGGCCCGAATCAAACCCGGGACCCTTCAGTCAGCAGGACAACACTCTAACCACTGAGCAAAACTGGCTAGGAGCAAATCACTTTAAATTCTTGTTTTATGATCTATCTAAAGAGTCAAATATAAATGGTGGTTTCAGTTTCTGAATCTAAATATCCTGAGTCCAAGTCCAGTCCTCAACATCTTTGTTTCTTGCTGTGCTTCGAGATTTATTCCATACATTTTGATATACTCAGGGTGTGTTATTTCCGATACTTCAGAGAAAATAACATTCATTCTATGACTGGTTAAAATCATTAAGAAATTTTCAGTATCCCGCAGAAAAATGTATAACCTCAATATATAGTTAGCAATAAAACCATTTTTTAAAAAATATCAAGAGAATAAAAGCAAATTTACCTCTAAGACATCAGAAGTGATAAGTTTCATTACACGATCATTTGGGTCCTTAAATTCTTCCGTAATTTCAGCTCGCTGAATTTTTTTCTTCATTCTGTATGACAGCTATATAATAATGAATGTCTTTTAAAGTATATTTTTTAAGTATAGAAATAAGACAGCAGCAAAAATTGTCCATCAGTAAACACAGATGAAACAGAAACAGCGCTAAGTATATTTTTATTAAATAATCCATTTTTAAAAGACTTAAGAGTTTTGAAATAATCCTGAAGATGCCATGCCATGTGCTTACAAATTCAGATGACATTCAGAAAAGTACCATATTTGCCAGCTGATGGCAGAACCAGAACTAGAACCAAGTGCTCTTCTAATCTAGTTTCTCAATTGTCATAAGATCAACAAAATATCATATTTTATTAGTGGAAATTTCAACTTTTTACCAACTGACATTAAAATTCCTTGGTTCTCTTTCAGCAGTAGCCTCTTTGATGTCTGAATAAAGACATGAACAAATGCAGATACTGAATTTAATGTCCTCTTCTAACAATCTGCTTAAGAGATGGCATTTGGAAACACACTGCATTTAAAAGCAGAGACTGAATTCTGATTGCAATAAAAAATAATCAGAAAGCATTTCCTCCTATTTTAAGAAGCCTTTCTACAAGTATTATAAACTATATAATATTCTTTCCACATTATGGAGACTGAAGTACTTTATGGACAATGAAGTATAACTTCTCATTTTGAAGAAACAATTTATTTTAGGTAACATACCAATTTGGGCATTGCTGTAAAGTGAAATGCTTTGTCAACTCGGAGCTTCCTAAAAATATAGGCTGCATCAAAATGTTGTGCATTTATCAAATCTTGTTGAAATTTTAAAACTTCATCCCAATCCTTCAGGGCAACTCTAATCTGCAAACATGAGAAGTAAAAAAGTTGTTACTAAATGTAAATCTTCTTTCACAAATGTTTTATACTTTGAAACACTGGCATTTCTATATAAATCAGTTTGTTGTAAAAATATTATACCCGTTTTGTGTTTCTGCTGATGGAAAACAACTCAAGTATTACCTTTTGTTTTGGTTGACACAGTTGCGTGTTATATAACCCATACAGCAGATACAAAGCACCAACTCTGATCTGGAAGGTGTATGGAGGTAAAAAATATCGCCAAGCCAAAGCTAAAGCTTCTTTTGTAAACGTGTTCTTTTCTAAATTTCTCATTTTACCACTAGAAAACAAAAGAGAAAATATTTTATGACTTTAAGTAAATAAGTAACAAACAAAAATTAGAAGAGGTATATTCTAGCAGCTGCTAGAAATCAGATGGGTGTTCCACATCTGATCCCTTCCTGCTTTAAGCACAAAGACCTCATCTTTAGTTGTGATTCCTCACTGAGGCATAGGCATACACTTGGTAAACATGAGGCATCTTCATAAAGCATCAACTTGACTTGCTGAATTAGGGAGCAAAAGTGGAGGAGTTGCAAATTATTCCTGGTTGAGAACTTAAAACATTTAATACATTAAAATAAGCATGGTTATGTTACAGAATAAAATATACAAGCTACATACTGGATATTTTCCCCAATACTCTCAGGGATTCACACTAAACCTTATTTGTCCTTGGGACACCTTGATAAAAAAATTAGAGACCATAATGTAACCCACCCCTTCCTTCCAATTCTTCAGGGCAAAGTTCACCCAAGTAAAGAAGGAGCAGGATAAGAAAGCAGATTCCACCATACTCCCAAAGCCTGGGCTCTTCAAATAATAAATACAATAAAAGAATGCAAAATACCTACTGTAAGTAAAGGCAACCAAAGCAACTTCTAAATAAAGTCCCCCGCACTCAAGTGGTCTCTACTTTTCTTCCTCCTTTTAGTTTTTTCTCATGAGCTAAAAATTGAGGTAACCCCAGCAAAATGTTTCTGAGCTACCATTTTTCCCAAGAGGGTTACAGTGAAAGATCATGGGTTTTGGAAACAGGCAAACATTTAGTTCCAGCATCTGCTCTACTAGCTGTGTGATCAGGGAGGAATTACTTCACCTCCTTAAGCCTCATTTTCCTCATCTGTACAACACCTATTATACCTGTTTTTCAGAGTTGTTCTGTGGATTAAATACATTAAGCTATAAATGCATCACATTTAGTAGCATTAAAATAGTTCCTCTCCTATGGTTAATTGTACAGCAAACAACTCCTCGTCCTCCGTCCCCTGCAATGTACAAACTACGTAGGTAATTACTTTACATCAACACAGAGAAAAAAGAGAACTTTTACATTTTATTCAGCAAAACAGCTTTCTAATCACAAGAACTCATTCATTCAATTATTTAGCCTTTTCAATATTGTATGTATTATGATAATGGATACCAGATTCATCCAGTCACTGGTCTCATAGAGCTCTGTCTAATGGAGGGAAATTTTAAAAAAAAACATTTACTGAGCACTTGGAGTGCCCTTACCATATATTAAACACCTTGCTGATTGGCTATTTCAAGCCAGAACTCGCCCCTGGGGCTGGCTACTTTGGTCAGCAAGGTGTTTAAAATTACTTAATGTAAATGCAGGCACGAGTTATCTCGGGACCAGTGGGCAACATCTGGACACGGAAACACGTGTATACTCCTGACAGCAAGGTGATTATTAGTCGGCAAGGTAATTAATTAGCTCGTTCAATCCTCAGAACTACAATATGAGGTACTACCACTGTCCCTGTTTTACAAATAAGGAAGTTCAAGCAAGTAACTTACACAAAAGTCACAGTAAATGGATTCTGATTCAAATTCAGGCAGTTGGGCTCCACAATCTGTGCTCTTAAACACTAATACTGTATTTTGAACTACACACTAAAGATAACATAAGCAGAATGTTATAGGAAAAAAAGAGCAGTATCCGTTACTTAGTTGAAAAGGGCAAAGGAAGTCTTCCCTGAGGAACTGTCATTTGAACTTAAACCTGAGTGAAGAATAAAGTGGCCAGGCAAAGGGAGTTGGGGGAAAGCTCCAGGCTGAGCAAGCGCCAGTAGAGGGCCACAGACATTGGAAACGCTGTAGAGGGCTGGAGAAAGAAAGTGCATGGAAGAGGATGGGTAGATGGATCTCTGAAGACAAGAGAGCAATCACAGGGGTCTAGCCAACCACGTTGGGGAATCTGAGCTGGAAACCACCGAAGGGTGGTAAGCAAGGGAGTGACATGATCAAATGTGCACTTTAGCAAGAGAACTCTGGTTGCTATGGGTAAAATGAATTCAAACGTGCGTTTTGTCTCCACCTAGGTGTCTCCTTTGTTTTGAAACAAGGGATTCTAGGCCAACAAGACTGGAGAAGGGCAAACGATGGTGACCTAGGTCAGGCTGGGGCAGTGCAGATGGAGAGGAGAGTTTGGAAGGGCGGCCAGGCAGGAATACATATTCGGGAAGAGGCCGCAAAAGGATGCAACCGAAGCCAATGAAATCGCCCAGGGAAAGCGCGCGGCCTGAGCCCAGAAGGCCCGGGGAGACGGAGGTAGCCCTCAGAGACCGCCATTTTTCTAAGCCCTCCCCAAGAGGGGGGGCGGGGCGGAGTATGCAAGTACCTACGCCGCGTCGGAGCGGCCGAGGGAGAGGGGCGGGGAGCGGACGAGAAACACCCACCAGAAGATGGTGCCGAACTTCATGCTCCTCCAGAGCTCCGTGAAGTCCTCGAAGCGCACGCTGTCCGTCTCCTGGAAGCGGCTGAGCAGCGCCTCGCAGTCGGCCTGCAGGCCCGGAGGCGTCCCCATGGCTGCAAAGCCGGCGCGCGCCCCGAGCGCTCCGGGCCGCCGCGGTCGCCGAGGAAACCTCGCCCGACGCCCCGCCCCCTACGACGTGACCCGCACGCGCCCCGTGACGCCTTACGCGACCCCTTTAGCCCCACCTCCAGCTAGCGGGCGCGATGCTTTCCTCGCGTGCGGGGCGGGTAGGGCTCGGCTCTCTGTTAATTCAAGGACTAAAATCAGTCCTTTTAATTTTTTTGAAGAGGTTGCTATGGCAGGTGACCTAGGAGCCCAAGAAGGAATGTAGGTCTACACTGGGCCAGCTTATGAAGATGGGCTTTACCCTGTCACTCTCCTTTCAAGTGACAGAGTGACGGAAGTCAACCTTCCTAGCTTGGGAGGAGCAGCTCAGAGCCGCAGCCCACCCCGCGTGGAAAGAGGACCTGAAGAGGGTTTACTAGGAGACGGACTGGACTCCTCCCTCACAGCCTATCCCCGCCCGACACGGAGCTCACTGTGTGCCTCTCCTGGGAGCCCCCGCGGTCTTCCAGCGCAGTGCTTAGTGGAGAGCATTTACTTTGTACGTTACGTCGCTAAATTGGCTTTCTGTGTACACTCCACCTCTCAGCTTATCCCTGGAGCTGGAGCTGGAGCAGTGTCTTGTACTTGTCACCATTTCTCTGATTGCAGGGCATGCTGTTTTTTTCTTCAGGAGAGGTATCCTAATGTAATAGAAAAGCGTGGGGCTTTCTGTCTGTAGATAGAGGTTCAACTCAGTTTTCCTGATCGTTGACCTATTTTTAAAATTTTATGTAGTATTTTACGTATACAGAATAACTTATGTAACGTGTGAGATAAAAAAACCATAGCAGGAAAACAAACATCTGTGTGTGTTCTACCTGTGTGGGAACCAGAACATTTCCAACCCTGCCACATCAATCTGAATTCCTCCTCTAAGCCATTCCCCTGCCTCTGCCACTACCTTAGTAACTACCTTATTTTGTTCCTCATAAACGTGTATATACTTTATCACGTGTATGGCTATCTAAACAACATATTTAGTTGTGGATGGCTTTGCGTTTTATGAAAATGGTATTGCAGTGTATAAAATATATTCTTTGAATTGCTTTTTAAATTTAGTAATGTTTCTAAGATACATCCATGTTATGACTCATAGCTGTAGTTCATTCATTTTCACTGCTGCCTAATACTCCATTATTTACCCATTATTTCTTCAATGCAAATGTAGGTGGGTTCCAGATTTTGCTATGAACACTTTTGTACATGCTTCCTTTTATTTGTAGGATCCCAAATAAAGTTTTATCAGTCTGTATCTAGGGTTACAGATATCTATCTACTCCAAAGGTTGATTTAGATCTTGCTATACTAATACCTTACTCTAATTACTACAGCTTTTTAAAAAATCTTATCTAGAAAAGAAAGTTCTCTTACTTTTCTTCAGGAGTATCTTGACTATTCTTGGACTTTTGCTTTTTCATAAAAATTTTAAAATCAATTTGCCAAATGTCTCTAATAGTGCCACTTGGACTTTGATTGATTGCATTAAATCTGAGTCAATTTGGGACAGAATAACGTCTTTATTATATTGAATCTTCCTAACCGTACATTTACCTTTACCCTCTTCAGTAAAATTTTTGTAATTTTTCTTCATGAACTCTTTATATGTCCTTTTGTTGGACTTACTTCTATATACCTTGCTTTTCTGTATTGTATTTGGTATTTTTCACTTCCTTACATTTTCTAAGTTTATATAAAAATGTAATTGAATTTTATATGTTAATCTAATATTCAGTGACCATCCTAAATTCTTATTAATCATAACAGGTTTTCTATAGATTCTTAAAGGTTTTATAGAGAGATGATAGCAGCAGCTATGAATAATGATAGGTTGGCCCGGCCGGCGTGGCTCAGCAGTTGAGCATTGACCTATGATCCAGGAGACTGCAGTTTGATTCCTGGTCAGGGCACATGCGCAGGTTTTGCTCGATTGGGGGTGGGGGGTGGGGAGGCAGGAGGCAGTGGATCAATGACTCATCATTGATTTTTCTATATCTCCCTCTCCCTTCCTCTCTCTGAAATCAATAAAGACATACTTTAAAAAAAAAAAAAAAATGATAGTTTGCTTTCTCCTTTATAATTCTTGTTCCTTTCTTTTTCTCCTGTTACTGTACTTCATTTGCTTGGCTAAGACTTCTTACACTATGTGAAATATAAACATAGGAGAATGCCCTGGCCAGTGTGGCTCAGTTGGTTGGAACGTTGCCCGTACCCAAAAGGTAGTTAGATTCCTGGTCAGGGCACATACCCAGGTTGTGAGTTCAGTCCCCAGTTGGGGCATGTGCAGGAAGCAACCAATTGATGTTTCTCTCTCACATCTATGTTTGGTTTTTTCTCTCTTTCTCTCTCTCTAAAACTAATAAATATATAGCCTCCGGTGAGGATTAAAATTAAATTCCTAACTAAAAGAGGTCATGGCCATGTAGTTAGATCCTAGGCCTGTAGCTTCCTTGACAAAGGTCAATTTTTACCTTAACTGAGCCTGTCTACTTACTGTCTTTTTGCATCTAAGATAACATACTCTTCGAAATGTCAGAGCAATCTCCTTTTCCCCTCAGGGCACAAACTCCCACTCCAGCACCAGACCACGGAGCCCCTCATTGCTGTCTTGTTCCCAGGATACCACCTTGATGTGTTGTAAATGTTAATTGTTAACTATCCTGTACCCAACCAATGTAAAAAAACATATATGTCTATTTTACTCTTTATCCAATCTCAGAGATTTCCTCCCTTTGCTTTCTCCTGTCCCCTTAATCTACCACTAATGGATTTAACTCCCCTTACATCTCCTCCTTTGATTCTAATGTGTAAAATAAGCTGCAAAACTGCCATTCTCTGGAACATTTTCTCAATGCATTGAGATGTTGCTTCCCGACAATTGTCAGTTTGGCTCAAATAAACTCACAGAAATTCTCTACAGCTTTGGACGTTTCTTCCATTGACAGAACTGTGCATCACTGATTTGATGATACCAAAGCATTATTGTTACATTTTAAGTGCGATAATAGTTTTGTGGTTATGTCAAAAAATATAATTTTTAGCAATACATACCATAGTATTTGAGTTAAATTATATGATGTCTGAATTTTTTTTCAAAACAATGGTGAGGAAGGGAAGGGGAGGAATGTGCAAAGGTGTGGATGAAAAAGCCAGGCATGGGTGATTGCTGAAGCTGGTACTGTGGTTGATGCTGAGATCAGATACCCAGAAGTTTCAGAATGAAAGGCTCACTCCCAGACGATGGTCCTCAGCTCAGTCCTCTTTGGAGATCGTCTCAGCTGAAGCAAACTACCTTATTTAAGATCAAGTCTTTTTTGGGAGGCAGCCCACATCCATTGAATGATCAGTGTGGTGGTATAAAGGCGCCAGCCCTCCTTATAACTTGGGAACAACTCTCCAGGGCTATCCCAGTCCAGAGCTCCCCATATGGCTGCTGAAGGGCCACTTCTGCTTTTTCCCTTCCACATGTGCTGTTCCCTAAAAAATGACCTGCAATTTTCATCTCAGAGCCTACTTCCTGGGAATCCAAACTGCAGACACTATGGCATCATTACACCATTTTCTTTACTTTTGTACGTGTTCCAGTTTCCATAATGAAACTTCAAGAAAAGAACTGAGTCAGACTAGATGTGGTGGATAAGGGTATGACAAGCGACCTTTAGAGCTCTGATTTTGGAGACTGGGTGGTGCCATTCACAATGCAGGAGGTGGAGCCATCTGGAGGACATATGAGGAGCTAGTTATTGAGAGGCCAAATTTGAGGTGCCTCTGGGGAGCAGTCTGGTCTGGATATAGATTATCAAGGTAGAGACAATCATGAAAAGGAGGGGCAATGGTGACTTAGAACATCTTAAATGGCCAATATGTGTGAGTACCTCACAGAGTGGGAATTAACTACCCTCTCAATGGCAGGCACCATATTCTAGAATATTTATATCACAACGTCATGTCTTAGAATAATATTATTTTAATCTATTCAAGCTGCTATAACAAAATACCATAGCTGGATAGCTTATAAACAAACATTTATTCCTCACAGTTCTGTGTCAGCATGGTCAAGCTCCAGTGAGAGCCCTATTCCAGATTGCAGATTGCTGACTTCTCATTGTATCCTCACATGGCCAAAGGGGCAATGGAACTTTCTGGAGCCTCTTTTATAAGGGTATGAATTCCATTCATGAGGGCTCCATCCTCATGATCTAATCACCTCCCAAGGCCCCCACCTCCTAGTACTAATCATCTTGGAGGTTAGGTTTCAATATATGAATTTGAGGGGACACATTCAGAACAAAGCAAACATCTAGGACTCACTCAACCTTCAGTAATTGTTCATTGACTGAATGGATTTCACTGGACAGCTAGAAAACGGCTGACAAGAGATAAATTCTGTGATATCCTAAATTAAATTACAACGGGCTGGAGAGTGGAAGAGAGACGCCTGAGCACTCAGTTAATTTCTGTGGGCGATAACTAAGAAAAAACTATTCACATTCTTGAATGTTTGTTCAAACTCTGAATCAAGTAGACACCACCCCATCCTGCTTTATGCATGAACTTTCGGACTCTTGCCCACAACTAATCAAGTAGTAAATATTTCCTCCTTATTGGACTAGGCACCTATCCTAGAACCGCTCCTGCTTCACCTTTTCTCGGCCATCCCTCCCCCCTTATCTACAGTCCATGAACGTAAATTCTTTCAAAACAACTTACATCTTTTTCCCCAAACTTGCTGTATAAAGAAATGCTTGTCTTTTCCATCTGGCTCTGCTGCTGCTGGTTTAGACTGTATGTCCCAGGACCTGGCCCTTTTTCTGGCAGCATATGGCTCAATAAACTCTTTATTTCACAAAAGTTTGGGGCTGTCAAGGTTTTTGTTTAATGTGGTCCTGTTTTCCCCATTCTACAACTCTGATCAGATTCTTCTCTGGTCCTGCATGTCTCATGAATCCCTCTCCCACGGCAATCGTGTGAGCTGTCCTTGCACAAACAGAGGGGAAGGTTTTAGTAACAAAGATGAATCAGAGGGGGAGCATGCTCTGAAGGAACTATGAGTTTAGTGGGGGGAGATAAGCTATACATAAATTATAGAAAGTTAAAAAAATGAGCAGTAAAGTAAGAAAGCTGAGGGTGAAGCGGCATGGACATTCTCAGGGGTGGCAAATATTTGTAGTTGAATTTGCCCAGAAAGAGGCAAATTCGCTCTGCTGGCTCCTCTGATTTGCAGTGTCAGTAGCTAGCTCACTTTAGTTAGGTACTAGCTTTCAATATTTTACCTGCAGACTGGGTATTGAGGCAACAGTTTATAACGACTCACCCCACAGCTTGTTCAGCGCTCCTATTAAACAGTTTGTCACTTTAAGCAGTTGTGTGTAGAAGTATTAAAATGTGTTTCAAAGACCAAATATTATCCAGAAATATTTGGAAAGGATCTCTACATAAAGTAGTGTTTCTTAATGTTTTACTATTTTAAAACTCTCTAAAAAAAAAATAGATTTGACTTAACAGAATCTATATATGATGTTTTTTCAATGTTTTAAAATGCATTGCCCGTTGTGATAAACATTGCACCCCCACCCCCGCCTGTTCCTCTGTGGAGAATCACCAGTTTATAATGATTACGCATCCATAAAACCAAAAGAGTTGTAGCACTCTCCTTGAACTGCGCCTTCCTAATTAAACATAAACACAGTGACTGAGGCTACCAATCAGTTTTTGTTAGTAAAAATATATTTAAAACACCTTGACCACTTTTTAAAAAAATAAACCATTACTTTCTAGGAAATTCTATTTAAAAAAAAAACAAAAAACAAAAAACCCGCAAAACATAAGCAATGAATTTTCCTGAAGAAAATAATTTACAAAATGTAAATTGCAGTCAGCTGTGGCTAAGCAGAGGCGAGGTTATTTATTCTAAACAATATCTGCCTTTGTACTTTACAACAAACTGCGCAATCCTAAGGTGCTAATTACTGCAGATTAAATTTAGAGCCCCAAGCTTTTCTGTACCCCTTAACTCACCTCTCTTCTGTCCATTAAGATGATCTTCTCCCAAAGGAATCAATAGCTGGCTTCAATAAGGTGCAGACACACAACAAATTCAAAAAACACGACAAGCAAAAACCAAAACAAAAACACCTGGGGCAGCAGCTTAAGTTTCCATTTACTTAACCTGGGACCTCAAAGTGCTTTATTTAAAATAAACTAAGTCATTGAGTGCATTAAGGGGAATTTATTTAAACAAACTCCTCTATTTTTGATCAGAGAAGTAGATGTCATTAAAAAAACCCAAAAAACCTGTTCTATAGGTGACCAAAGCCCAACCTGTTAGACCGCAGATACTTTTCCATTCTCCGAACCACAGCTTCACACCCCAAGCATTAGACAGTTCCACGAAACACGTCGTATCGTCCCAAACGGACCCTCCAGCCAAAAAAAAGAAAAAAGTTTGGGGACAGTTCCAGCACCAGAGCTGGCCAGGTCACGGAGGACAAAGGGCAGCGCCG